CTGCCCCTGCCCCTGCCCCTCCACGGCGGTCTCGGCGGTCCCGGCTGCACCTGCCCCCGCGGTCCCGGTGGGTAGTCTCGAGCCGGCTCTGGGGGGACCCGCCGGCCGCCCGGAGCGGAAACGCCCAGGCTCTGCCGGAGCACCGCGCACGCCTTGGGGCTCCTTGGGAGAAACGTCGGGAACAACGCAGTTACGGCTCGGGCCTTCCAACCCCCATTTGCGGCTGCCGTGCCTTTTTTAGGCTTTGCTCTTCCAAAAGCTTCGGGGGGGGGGGGGGGCGGGGCGGATGGCCTAGTGGTTACGCGGCCAGACCCCCAAATGGCTCACTGTGTTCAGAGTCCCAGAAACTGAGCACTGAGCGGGCCCTTTCTCTCTCTCCAACCAGTGCAGCGCCCTAAGGCAAAAGCTCTACCAAAAAAGTTTCTCGCTCTAGCCAGGCTTAAATGTAATTTATTACATGCTCTTCCCACTTCATTATGATTTTCCAAATTTACAAAACAAATCTGAAAACTCAGATTAGTATTACAGTTCTGATCAAGAAAAAGTCTGATAAATTGAAAATAAAATACTTTCTTTAAAACAGAAAATGGGACGCGAACCGCAGTCGACCACATAGGAGTCCAGCAACACAGCCATTACTAACTGCTGGTCCCTCTCCTCTCCGTTTTGTTTTGTTTTGTTTTGTTTTGGAGAGGTTTTTGCTATAGGGTATATGCGCTCACCAGACAGACAGAGACAGAGAGATAGAAAGCGAGAAATCAACCCCCAGAGGGGATGGCCATGCCACAATCCCTTCTCCTCCATTCTCCTCTTGGGATCTTGGGCACACACGCACACGCACCCGGCGTGAGTTTAAGCCACCAGGTCTGGGACTCAAACTACTCAAACCTCAGTCAACTATGTGGGAGTCCAGCAACATAATCACTATGTCATTTGCTGGTCCTTTTAAGAATTATTTCACTTAATTTTATTATTATCATTTTTTAAATTTATTTTGACCAGAGAGAGAGAGATGGAAAGTGAGAAAGCAAGCTGCCAGGTCTGGGACTTGAACCTCTATCTGCCATGTGGGTCCAGTGCCCCAGCCACCACGCCACTGCGCTGTACACTGCGTTCTTTTACAACTTTCAGGCATGACCCTGTAGCCGAAGTCCAGGGAGAGTGGGCCAGGAAGAGTGGGCCGCCAGCCAGGGTCCAGAGCACTCAGCCCGGAGGGTCCTGCAATGCCGACAGCTTCCCTCCACCCTGGCCCTGCAGAGCAGGGGACTGGACGGAGCCTGCGTCGATGGTGGGGCAGCGAGGTGCCAGGTGGGGGGCAGAGGGGTGGCCTGGCAGGAAGCAGGAGAGGGTGGCGGATGGGGAGACTTGGGGCCACAGGCCCTGGGTGGGTCTCACTGGCCTTGTCCCCAGACCAGGGGCCAAAGGCTGGACAGGAGAAGCGTGGGACAGTGGGAGGACAGTGGCTGCAGGAGGGTAGAGCCACAGGCCACCTGAAGTCCCAGTGCGAGCAGGGCCAACCATGCCAGGTTTGTGGCTTTGAAGTCAGACCTTTGCGGTGACCTCGAAGTCGGCGGGCCTGGGAGGCAGTTCCGGACACGGCCAGCAGGTGGCGGCACGCGCTCGCCGCTCGGCCCAGGGCACTGCACTATCCGGGCGCTTCTCCACCGACGAGGGACCGCAGGAAGGCCAATGGGACCCTGCCCTGGCGGCCTCACTCACCTGCGTGCTTCTCAAGTGCCTCAGAGGGCTCCTGGGTCGTCAAGAGCCAGCAGGTGGCGTGGAGGGCGAAGGTGCTGACTTCACAGTTCAATCTCCAGACCGGGTGGCTTGAAGAACATGCCGTGTGTGTGTGTGTGTGTGTGTGTGTGTGTGTGCACTCCCAACCCT